GCCGACGCCCCAAGAAGGACCGTCTCCAGAGGATGAAGTTGCACCAAGTGCTGAAACCGAGCAAGAGGAGCAAACCAATAGTGCAGAACCCAATCAACCCACGCCGGACGCCGCCGACTCAAACAAACCTCCTCCGGAATACACGGACGCTCAAACGTACCTGCTGAATCGCTGCCTTAAACTCTGGCAACGCTACCCAGACCCAACAGTCAAGATCCTCAGCCCTGTTAACACTGACCCGCCCACTGATGGCTGCGCCGACTCCACTTCTGATCAGAAGTCGACCCTGGAGTTTGTGGCCTCGGTCATCCGCGTGCCCAAGAACCCCACCGTCCTCAAGGGCGGCTACCTCCTTGTCCCCAACAGTGATTCGACCAAGTGGAATAAACGGTTCGTTGAACTGAGGAGGCCATATCTCCATATTCACAGCGTGGCAGACGGAGAGGAGGTCGGGATCGTCAGTTTAAGGAACTCGCGCGTCGATAGCCAACCCGGGATATTAGGTTTGCTAAACGATGACTACGGCACGGGGGGCAGCGGAGGCTTCGGGGGATCCGATGATGGTTACGGACTACTAGACAACCTGAACGGAAACATGGACAACAATAACAGAGCCGCTAACGGTCGCCCAAGTGGGCTTTTAGACACCATCATGAGCGGTGGTTCGGGCGGTTCGGGAGGCAGGGTATCCAACAGTAACGTTGGCACACCTCAACAACGCCGCTCCCCCTCCGCCCTCCTCATTTCCTCCTTGTGGCCCACCTTCAGCCCACTTCCTTCGCCCAACCCGATGACGGCGGCAGGGGCCAGGAGCAGCCACAGCAGGCTAGCAAGCGGCGGCAGTAGAACATCAGCCGTTTCCCTCCGCAGCAACACAAGTTCCCCGGCGTCATCCACAGGCACGCTTGCCACCACCACCATCACCAGCAACAACAACAACAACAACAATGGACCCTTGTCATCGTCAGGACCATCTCTTCAGCAAGGTGGTGGTCTTTCCCGCCTGAGCGAGCGGCTGCAGGCTGGCGTGTTTGCCATATATGGGACGGACAACACGTGGCTGTTTGCGGCGAGAAGTGAGAAGGACAAGATGGATTGGATCTGGAAGATTGATCAGAGTTATATGATGACGAGTCCGAGCGCGAGCGTGGCGGGGAGTAGGGGGGCAAGTAGAGCGGGGAGTGCAAGGGGCAGTAGGGCGGTTAGCCCGAGTCCTGGGGCGAGGAGGACGAGCGCGAGGGTTAGTCAGTTGAGGTTTTGATTATCATGATCGTTGATGGGGGAAAGATGGAAGGGATGGGATATGGGTCGCGGAAGTTCGGTTGTTGCTGCTGCTTACTTGCTTGGTATGTTTCGTGCATTCAGGGATACCCAATGGGAAATATAGACATGATTATCTTTGAAAAAAAAAAGGCTCTTTTTTTTCTCATCTTGTTTCTTTTGGGTCTTTTTGCCTACAAGAGGTGCTTAACATACGGAGCATTGAGCATGACCGATAATCTCGACTCGCCCAGATTGCAGTCATGTATTTAGATAGCAATGGGCTGTCCGCCATTGTTGACGTTTTGCCGAATCGGGAAGAAACCTTTGACAAGGCCACCCCGAGACAGCCAAGACAGTCGCAAAAGGTTGCTCGGTGAGGAGCAGGCAGCTGATGGGGTTGGAGCCACACAGCCACGCATGAGCAGCCTCACAATGGCTTTCCTAAGGCTCTCCAGTCACAAATGCTGCTACATAGGTATGTATTCATCCGAGCCGGGTTGGTAGCTTCATCATGGAAGCTTGGATAGCTGAAATGGACGGGGAGATCAGTGGGGCACCCAGCGCGAACCTGAATATCAGGGCGTGGGGCCCTTGGCGTCTGGAATATAGGAAATACCTCGACATAAATCATTCAGCCGCCGATTTTCCTTTTTGCTGTCAGTCTGCCCTGTGTAGTGTACAACCAATATTAGGTATGTACGTACACCACGCATACATATGGTCGGTCCATGATCAGTGTCTTGGAAGCTAGGTGGCCGGCAAAGGGCACTCCGCAGTTTTCGCGGTGGCTGGGCCAGTGCCAGGGTGGGGACGAGGGCCGCCATGTCCCCGGGTTCGGGCTGCGCCTCCGTCATTCGGGTCCAGTCCCTCCTCCAAGTGCACCCACTTTCCTTCTGGGGGTTTTGACTTGCGACAAGACAAGATTCAGACGAAGACGCCGCCGCTCTCAAACCACAAACGTCTTGCACAACCTTGACCTTGACCATCGCCAACCTCCCTCTTACTTCCATTCGACAAGCCGAGCTGATAGCTTTCCCACCCTTCAGACTATCGGCTACTGTTTTGTTTCTGACTTGACCTGTTCCATCCGACTTCCAACAGTCTGTACTGTCGTCGACAAGCACTTCGGTTTTGCTCTATCACGAGGCTGTCGCACGTTGCCCTACTTCCAACCCTACCCTACCCAGGGCTACGTACCTGCCGACTGTCATCCCAACTTCGAAACCCGCCTAGCAGAAGCCTAGGCGCACCGAGTCTCAAGAAGCTTATTTCGACGACCGTTGTTCCATCGAGGAACCAACCAACCCCCTCTCAGCGCCACACCGCGGTGTCGCCAGCTGAAACAAACAACCAGGACATATCAACACGCCCCGACTCGTCATCACAGATTGGCAACAATGGGCTGGCAAGCTTGGGAGCTCGACCCGGAGAAGATCCCTCTCTTTAAATTGATCTTTCACGTTGCCCAGATCGTTCTGGCATTCGTAGTATGGTGTTTGGAGATTGCCGTTTTCAAAGCTGATGATGTGCCCATCAACGGCCAAAATGGCTGGACCTTCGCAGTGGTACGTCCCACTTACGTCTTTCCTATAGAGGAGAATCATAGACTGACGATGCCGAACTACAGTTCTTCATTTCGATACCGGCCTGGATCTACCTAGGCATGGCCCCGCGATTTCCTCGGACACGCAAGCTTGCGCAGCCGCATGCCATGGTCGCCGTTGACGCTGCGTTCGCCATCATCTGGCTTTCTGCCTTTTCCACCCAGGCTGCATTCAACACTGCTGGATCTTGCATGTCTGTATGCGGCATTAGCAAGGCCATCGTCGGTCTTGGCTTCTTTGTTTTGTATGTCCCACCAGCGCAAAGAATCCCCTCCCCTCGAGCCCCTCACTAACAAGTCTTTCTGATATTCAGCCTCTTCTTCTGTGTCACCACGTTCCTGAGCATCTACACCCTCATGTACTACAAGTGGAACAACCGCCTCCCCGGTTATGAAAACCTGCACGCCCGCACCCAGAACATCGACCCCGACAAGGCTGCCTTTTCGCTCGCCCCACACGACGAAGAAGCCTACGCGCCCGTCAACATGAACGACCGGGACGACGAGCACAGCCAGATTGGCGGCGGCATCGGCGGCCACTCCGACTACGACGACACCAACACGCACCTCGGCGGCCAGGTTGGCGGCGGCGGACGCTCCGACTACTCAGACCCCTACGGCGCCCCGACGGCTAGCAGCCTCTCGGTCGACCCGTACCGCGGCCACACGCCCCTGAGCAACATGACCCCCGACCCGTACCGCGGCCATACCCCTCTGAGCATGAATACGGCCCGCACGCCCGACCCATACCGCGGCGCCACACCCTTGACCGATTTATCTGCTGATCCATACAACCGCGGCGTGACGCCGAGCTACCTGGGAAGCCAAACCAGTCGGTACGGCGCTAGCTCGGTGGCGCCGTCCGAGAACCCGTTCAGACAGGATAACCCGTTTGACAACGATAACGATTATCAATCCTCCGTCGGCGGCGGCAGCAGGTACGCGCCCCCTAGTGTGCATGATGGGGACTACGAGGATGAGCCATCGGCAAGGTTTCCCACTGCGCCCTACGGCCGAGTAGGAATCGAACGGGGGAATGTGTAAGAAGGGGATTAAAAAAAAAAAAAAGGAATGGTCGAGAATTGAAGTCAAGGAATATGGATGAGCTGGACTGATCGACTTTGGATCTGGAAGCGGATGAAATACCGGGTAGCTATACGCTGCAGCATGCTTAGGTCATGTACAAAGTGTCTTGGCTACCTGCTTTCTTTTTTTGTTATGGGGGCTGGCTGGCACTAGACGAAACATTTTGGGCTTTTTCTTGTGTATGTATGTGTGTAGGCTTTGCTTTATGGGGTGTCGTTGGCGAGGCGTCACAGGTCCTTGTTGGTTTATCATGCATAGAAACGAGAGAGATACCTTCGTGCATCAACAATGAATCGCAAAGCTCTCATATCGGCTTCGTGGAATGCTTTGTATCTGTGTCATTCTTTTTAAACCCTCTCATATTTGTGGAGATCTACGTAGAACATGACTCTAGGTGGCATACAATATATGATACGATATATGTGCATGGCTCAATGGCCCTAATTCTTTTCATGTACTTTGAGAAACGCCTAAAACGCCCGTGGCCTTAATGAATAGTATGTATGCTGCACAAGAAATCCTGGTCCCCGTCCCATCATCCGTTTTGCTTTTGCTCATTACCGTTGAGCAAGGGAGCGTGAGCCGAAGTAGCTCCGTCGCCTGTTTCTTTGCCAGTTCCCCAATCCACAGGAGGGTCGCCCCCTGAAGCGAAGTATGACGAGGCGACAGCGGGGAGTCCAACTGGCATTGCACCAGTCTGAGAGAGAGGGAGAAAGAGAGAAAGACAAGATCCGTTCCTCTCTTCTTTCGAGACCTATCGAGCAGAACCATCTCGGCTGAAGGATCAGCCGTGTTGGGTCGCTCTTTCTCCCTCCCGCCGACTCTCGTAGCCCAGCTTACAGGATGAGACTGGACATGGGTCCGGGCATTTGTCGCCAGGCTCCCACATCTCTACCCTCATCTTCAAATCACACACCGAGCTCACCGGTGATCCCACGAACATCCCCTTTCAAAGAGCAGTCGCATTTCAGTGATGATGAAGTTCACATCACACTCGCGCATGCAATTTGTCCCCTTGTTCCCTTCCCTCGTTCCTTCGTCCGTTTCTTTACTGCAACAAGCCAGCCTTCTTCAACCGCTTGGTAATGTCGCCCTTGGTCTGCTGCATCGGGTTTAACTTGATGTCGCGCACCATGGCAGCTACATCGTCGCCGTGCTTAGCCACTAGCCGCTGCAGCCATTCTAGCTCGCGGTCGCTCTGGTAGCGCACCGTCTTCTCCACAGGGCGCGACGCCTCCTCCTCGAGCATCCGGACCACCTCGGGCCGACTGCTCTGGGCAATCATCTCCTGGCGGTCGTCGCTGATGCCGTGCCATTCGATATCGTGGGTTGGGTTCTTGGGCTTGGGTTCCTCGGATTCGGAGTCGGACTCGATCTCGTTGAGCGGGTCGTTGAGCGGGTTGTCCGAGCGCAGGACCTTGACGATCTTGCCCGAGGCGTCACGCTCGACTTTGACCTCGCGGACCTCGAGCAGGCCGCGATCGGCCGACTTGACGGCCAAAGGATCATCCTTGGTGATGCCGGCGTAGTTGGCGGCGGCGGACTTCTTGGCCATGCCGCCGGCGGCGGTGCCGAGCTTGGCGACGAGACCGAAGCGGGAGTAGTTTTGTGAGAGGGTTTCCTTCTTGTTCCTGTAGTACATCAATTTTTGCATGTCAGTACTGAATCTCCTCGAATATCTGGCGGGAAAAAGAAGAGAAAGGTACTAACCAGGCCTTGGCAACGATACCGCTGCCCTGGGGGTTCAAGTGCTTCTTCTTGATGGTATGCGTCTGGACCTTGGCGCGAGACGAGCGCTTCTTGCGCTTCTGGAGTTCTCTGCCCATTGTTGCTGTGGTTTTCGGGGGATAGGTACTATGTGGTGCTGCTGAAAGGACAGGAGTTCGACTGCCAAAAGATGCTGGGAAGAAGAAGGCGAAACGGGAGTAAACCAGCAAAGAACGATGACGGCGACAACGACAACGAGGGCGGAAGTTGACCAAAATTTCGGGGGAAACCACCCCAGAGAACTCGATTGAACTGGAACTGCAATGGCTCCTGTCTGATAAGAGAATTATAGTGGGGCTGTCGTCCCTTATCGAACTTCCAGGTTGTCCGCTACCTACTTGGTACGTTCCCTCAGTCCAGTCGCCAGCTGGCAAGAGGGCCGTAATAAAGATACAGTCCCCGAGTGTGTACCTGGTGTAAGTGGTGTATCGTATGTAAGCACGTACATAAATACCGCTTCCTCAGGTTCCGTCTCTAATCTCTAATCCTCTTGTATCTATCTTGCTTGCCTTTATCGCCGTCACCAGCTCGTTCATCAACAATTCTTCTCCCAAGAGTGATGATGGCAACTTACCTAACGAACATTCCCTCGGAATTGGACTCTAACTTTCACAGCCATCACAGCCGCGGCTTCTTGTTCTGCTCGCAACTGGTGAGGCGCCAGCGGCCGCGCCAGTCACCACCTCACCATTGCCACCATGATCATTACCCATTGGAGGTATGAAAAGACTCATAATCATTGCTGAATAACTACAGTACCTACGCACTTTGCAAGTTTTCCGGGAGGGCAACTTAATTCCCGTCCCATCCCATCCCCAAAACACCCTCCATGGCCTCCGCCACTATCCATTCGACGCAGGCACGCGGGTCATACCTGAGATTTCATTTCTTTTTGATTCACATCCAACCTGCCTTCAAATGACAGCCTTGTACTTCCAAAGACATTCGGTAGTAGGCGACCTAACTGTTGACATGTTCATTTCAAGTGCTTCGGTCATCATCCTGCTACATGCCGGCCAATGCCCCTCAGAGCCCGGAGGAACACTGCGCAAAACGGGAAGCCGTTCGACATACATACATAAGTGTACTGTAGTGGCCAGCCAATTGTCTTTCATGGTTTTCTAGGCGTTTGCCTATACAAGTACCTAGTGCTAAACAGCGACCGAGGTCTTGCTTTTTCTTCCCCAACTCCTCTCTCTTTAAACGCCCAGCCCATAGTTCGCAGCAGAACTCAACATCTTAACACCCCCCCTCCTTCTTCAACCCCATCCAACCTCAATGCAACATGGAGATATTCAAATTTTGATGAGGAGGAACACTTGCTTGAAATAGTCACCTTCCTGTTAAGTCTAGGCGCAGACTTAGCCATGAGGTTTTGTCGAAATGAGGGGGGAGTTGGATACATGTCGAGCGGGATGTGGGAGTGGTAGCGGCGAGGAGGTATACTTCTCAGTACATATGTACTACTTGGACACACGAGTTATTGATGTTCATGTATGTAGGTGTTCTAGAATATTTACTAGCAACGAGTTGACAAGGGAACCTTTTGATTAGCATCGCCCCCTGCTTCAAGATGCTTGAGATAGACTGTAAGCTGTGGGCAAGATGCTTTCTGGACTTAACTCAATCACTCTGTCTGTTATTGCCATTCAATCCCATAATTTACAATGGATCTCCGTCGACGACCACTCGAAAAGGATGGGAGGGGCAATTCGGCTTTAGACGGAACGGATGCGCAAAGGTAGGTATTCACCCGTCTTACACGCTCATATCGACCTCTTTCCCCCTCCTCAAGAATGTCTTGAGCCTCCAACAGAACGTGGAACTATTACTTCTTCGGATTTTGGTTTCCATGTAGTTTCTACAGTGTAGTATCTTTCTTCTTTACCCCTCTCCTTAGTCTTCCGGGGATTTCTCGACCTACTGCATCTGATGCCGTGAAGGGTCTAGGCTAGGCGCTACCCCGGATTTTGAAGATGTACGTACGTAATACGGTGAGGACTACTAAATCAATCCAAGATTTCAACTCGAGGTCCTAGAGTTGGATTACTGTATACACATAGTCAGACTAAGGAACATGTCACGTTTTGACCTATGCCATGCCATACCTATGGGTCGAGAATGAGAGTGGCTGCGCAGTCGTCTGTAGGCCGAGAGAAGTCATACTAGACTCTACTGCTAGTGTGTTAGGGAGTGTACGATCTTTCTCCTCTGCTCTTTGACTGTCAGATGATCGTCGAAAGTGGGCATTTATGGTAGACCTTTGAAATTCAAACCAATATCACCTCCAGCCGAACTTAGGCTTATGATCACTTCTTCCATAAACTCATTTCTAATTGATGTGTCCCTTTGACCAATTTCTCTTGGATTTGTCGATGCAGTCAGTACTGGACAGCCAATCTGTAACTGACTGACTGCCTTTGCACCACCCTCACCACCATAGTATCATTCGTCCACCCACCACCACCTTGCATATTCGCCTTTCACACGCACGGTTTCTAGAACCACGATCGTCTCCTTCCCACGGCACCTCATCCATCCACTTTGTTGTGTTGTCAGCATCAAGTCCATACTAGTTCCCTATAAGTCATGAGTACCGGCGGCAGCAACAGGACTGGAGTCTAGCATTTACAACATACCAAGCACCTACCCCCCCAAAAGCACGAGACCCCCCAAGAAAAGCACTTTAAAGGCAGGTAGTATTCAGATATGAGATTGGTGCATTGGGCATCTACCTACATACGTTGGTACGTGCCTCTCCCATGTTTTGTTCAATAGGCCCAGTTAGGTAGCTATCTGTGTAGCTACAGTACCATCTTGCGCTCTCTCGGTAACTACTCTTGATTACCATTCATGCGCGGTGCCCCAAAGCCAAGCAAAGAGCCAAGAGGTACCGACAATGATACCACCGCCGTGGTAACCTTGGCAATGTATGTAGCTTCTACCTTCCAATGTATGTCGGTACCTAGGTATGTATGGGGGAAACACCGATATGACGGATAGGAACGGTGAAATAGATGGAAAGGAACTGAACCGAGAGAAGACGCGGTTTTCCAAACCGACATGCCACCACCATAGATACCTCAGTCCGGATTGATGTGCAGCAGTATGTCTGTTCATTTCTCTCGACGGGCAAGACTAGATTAGATGCCTCGGTACCTAACCAGCTTCGATTCTCTTCCTATTCGAAGCTGAACAAAACCACAAAGCAAAAGAGCGGTCCCTTTCCGCCACTTCCCCGTATGCTTCCCAACCCGTCATCCTATCCATCCCCGGTCATATATGCATATAGTAGTAGTACATGTAAAGGAAGGCTAATTTTTGTGTGTGCCTAAGCGCCGTGACCAGACCCGAAGCCAAACATATGATCCGAAAACAGAGAGATCCCGCTCCCAAAAGATGGACAAAACACCAGTAAGTACCTAGTAATAGCAGCAGTAACCAAAGCAACCAACCAACCCCCCTGTCACCTGTTTGAATATCAGAACATGATCCATTCTACATCCACGCCAGGTCCCCCAATGCACCTCGACCAGTTGAATGGTCCGCTGCGCATCATGCCCCTCATTTTGGCACCGGGACCATTTTCCTTTACATCCTCTACCCACAGGCGTTCCAAAACGTCCAAGGCAGCCATGTTGTTCATGTAGCCGCTGCGAGCCATTATATCGCGGCATTTGGACCGGACAATGTTCTGCTGTAACACGTTGACACATTCGCTTCCAGCCACAAACAGAGGCCAGAGCAGGAACTTCTCCGCACTGCTGCCTGCTTCCAGGCTGGTGGCATAGTAGACAACCTGGCTGACCAGATCCCGGAAGTGACTATGAGAGCTGGGGAGGTTGGGACTGGCCAGGCGTTCCGTGTATAGAAGCGCCGCATACCGGAATGCCTCGCTCAACGAGCCCAGATCGCGCACTTGTGAACCTGTAGGCGGCGGCGACAACGTTGGCGCCAATGAGGCCACAACCCTCGACGCGTCAAACTCCCAGCTCTGCAGGGCAGTGCGCGCGTCCTTCCACTCGCGCCAGAATGTGCTGCCGTGATCGTCGTATCCCATGGATGTGTGACCTATACCCGTTATTTCGTCGTCCTCCATGGTCGAGCCGAGTCCGCTGCCCTCGAACCTCATCGGCTGGAAGCTTCCGAACAAGTGATGGTGCTCAGACGGGGATGACTTGAAGCCGCCACCACCAAGAGGCGAAGGGGTGCCACATAGGCTGCTGGCGCGTGCACGCTGGGCGTTGGCCAGAAGGTTTTGTACCGGTCGATGCTGAGAAAGCAGGTTCAAACGACCTAGCTTGACAATCGTCTTGAATAGCTCACGATCACAGCCCACGAGATTTTCCGTACCAGGTGGAAGAAGTTGCGAGTCAGGAAGAAGGCCATAGAAGGATGTGTTGAGCTGAGCTTCCCGATCGTTGACGCTCGCAGTGATAGCATCAAAGTATGTGAATAGCGCCTCCATCCATGCCGAGTCTCTAGATGCAGGATAGGAAGACATTCGACGTAACCCTAGTATCTTCTTAACTCCTGCGAACTGGGTTTGAAACTTGGCGACGCCGGACTCAGCCATCCGGTAGTGGCAAAGTATGAGGATGGTGGCCAGGACTGAATCATGAGTCGACTTCTCCGGGTCATTAAGCTGCTCATTCAGCAGATGAACAGCTAGGTTCCTGTGCTGATACTCCTCAGAGAGGGACTGGTCCTCTGGCTGTGTTTCCGAGTAACCGTCGAATGGGCTTGCATCCAATCGCTTTTCTCCAACGTCGCGCATGTGCTGTCCAAGACTGAGCCGTCGCTTAATCCTGAGGTTGCATGCGGCGAGTGCACAGATGGCATGCTGCAAGCTCCTGCTAGTGGTACCGAGCTGCAAGATGTGTTCTCTGAACGGGTTGCTGGGGTTGTCGATAAAGACCATGCGGGGACAAATGGTTTTCTCGTAATAGTCCATGAAGAAAGGCATCTTATGGATGAGATCAGGGCTTACCCGCAGGATCGGGGAGGGCGATTGCGAAGGAAACGAAGTCGGCCACGGTAGCTGAATATGCTCTTGGAC